GAAATATGTATTAATTAAAACAAGAACTCTCCACACTGGAAAGACGGCTCAGTGATTAAGAGAACTTGTTCTTGCAGAGGATTGAGTTCAATTCCTGGTTACAACCACCTGTAAACTCCAGCTAGGTGATTTGATGACCTCTTCTGGCTTAAGTGGGCACTGCATGCATACTAAAAATGTTTACAAATTTTAAAAAGAACTCTGCCTTAGTTTATTTGCTAGCCCATTAAAATTCCACTTATACTGCAAGGTATAAAACTAAAAAAAATTCATTATTTTTCTCCCAATTCTTCTCTGGTATATTTGTTTTGTTTTTTTACCCTCTGGTTTTTAAAGTCAATTTCGAACCAGTCACGCATGTATGTCAATTCACATTACTACATTTTCAAAGTACTTTGGCCTGTGTGAGTACAAGAATATTTCTTATTACATATTATCAAACAATATTTCACAACATAAAAATATGTATTTAATTACTTTATTTTTGATTGATATATTGTGTGTGAGAGAAAAGAGGGGGAGGGTACCACAGAGTGTTTGTGGGAGTCAAAAGACAACCTTCATTAAAGTTAGGTTAGCAGGCTTATGTAGCTAGCTGAGCCATCTCACCAACCACAATAAAATCTGTTTTTGTTTTGTTTTATGGTGATCTGCTATTGTCAGAGTAACATAGTGTAGGCAGCAGTGGGAAACTCTCATTTGTACTGTAAAAGTTTTCTATCTGAATTAATGTCTGTCCCTCAGGTCTCTGGCCTCCCTCCACTCTTCCTCTCTTTCCCTTCCATTTCCTTTGGTTTCTCAGAAAGAGCAATAAGGAAAGTACGCCTGGTTGGTACTTGGCCTCTACATTTGATATTCAAGAGCTTTTAGAAACCCAGATCCATCCCCTGCTGCCTTCGGTGTTTGAGCCACACTGTTGAGAATGCTGGCTTCTAGGGGTTGGGGGGGGGCTGCAGACTGCAAGGGGTAATGTTTTTCCTCAGAAACTACCCTTTATCTGACTTGCTTGCCAGGACTTCCTGTAATCTTGACTGCTGCCTCCTGACTGCTGCCCCAAAGCTGTCAGGTTATTAAGACGAAATCTCTGAAAGCTGGCCACCTGCTGAGTCCAAGTGTGTGCCTCACAAAAGTCAATATTTTCAGCTTTCCCCTAGCCCTGGCGTGCTTTAAGGGCTTTCTAGTGTACATCCTTTGATTGTGAGCGAGTGTTGGTAAGGAAAATGGCTTTCATCTTTTGTCTATGGAAAGTGGAAAGTGGAGTTGCTCTGGTCTAGTCTTCATCACAGTCTTTGTTTAGAAGAAGTTATTTCAAAAAGACTAGAGGCAAGGGCATATTGATGCAAAGTCAGATACATCTGCATTCATTAATGTTTGTTGGGGTGCACCATGTAGTAAGGGTTGGTTGAGGAAAGGCGGCAGTCCAAGATGAAATTTTAAGGCCTATGCAGCAGCAAGAAGGTCCTGCTCTTCCAAGATGAACTTTAAGGACTATGTGGCAGCAGAAAAGTCCAGCCTCTTCTGATGGACTAACCCCCAAAAAGCTGTACAAAGGAGTATTTACTGATTGTCACATAAAGTATTTCCTCATCCCAAGGTGCCTAGTCTAATTTATATATCTTACTAAAGGAGAGTGCACCACCGCTCTGCCTTAGTTCAGCTTTTTGAGACAGGTTTTTTTCCTAGCCCAGGCTATCTCCCTGTAAATCCAAGGCGACCTAGAACTCCTGATCCTCCTGCCTCTCCCTCCCCAACTCTGGGATAACAGGTGTAGGCTATCACACCCAGCTTCTCTTTGTTGACAGGTGTGGCTGTGTATGACTTTAATGCTGGAACTCTAGAAGTAGAGGCAGGTGGATCTCTGAGACTTGGAGCCCAGCCTGGTCTATATAGCAAGTTCCAGACCTACATAATGAGACCTCTGCCTCCAACTACTATGATTTAAAGATTTTTTTTTACATGTATAGTTGTTTTGCCTACATGTATACCTGTAGTCATGTGAAGTACATGTATATCATATATATGTAAAGCCAGCTTTTTACATAAGTTTCAAACATAGCATTTTATACCGGTATGTCTTTAGAGAAAAGAACATCTATATTAGATTAATTCTACTTGTGATAGTTGGGATGACAGATGTCCTCACTGGTCCCCAGTTGGTGGTGCTGTTTGGAGAGGTCATGGAACCTTTAGGAGATTCAGCTTGCTGGAGGAAGTCCATCACTGGAGGTGAGCCTATTATAGCCTCATCTCATTTCCTGTTCATTTTCTCTGCTTCCTATGTGTGGAAGAAAATGTGATCAGCCACCTTCCAGATTCTGCCACCAGGCCATTCCTTCCCTACCATGAATGACTTTATCCCTCTGGAATCTTAAGTCAAAATAAACCATTTTTTCTCTAAACTGCTTTTGGTCATGGTGTTGAATCACAGCAACAACAAAATAACAACCTTAACAGAAATGATTTTTAGGTTGCACGGCAATGTTTTTCTACTGGTACAATGTGATGTTGGTCTCTTCAAACTCCTCACCAAGAATGGCAGTACACACCAAAAAAGGAATCGTAGCCTTCCAGGTCATGACACTAGGTAAGTGAGGTCACTGGGAAGTAATTTGGCCCTGAGAGTAGAGGCCTCATAAAGAGCAGTAGTGCTTTTAAAGAGAAATGTTTTTAAAGCAAATTTCAGGATTATAGAAAACACATAAACAGAAGAAAATCCCATAATCCATCCACAGAGAGTCACAATATGTGCCACATTTTTCTGTCCTCTCTGACCTAGCCTATCTATTGCATTTTAGTTGACTAAAAGCCCATTTTCAACTTTGATTACAGGCTTCACTCTGGGACTGAGCTTGAATACCAGGTCCAAAAGAGCTGATCAAAGCAGAACCATGGTTCTGCTTCTGTGTTCCCTTTTTAGGAAGCCAAGTCCTGTTCTTACTGCCTGTATAAAGTGAAGACATGACCACTACAAGGTATGGCTGAGGAGAAGGGTTTTTAGTACAGCCAGAGGCATCTTGAAGAATCCAGAGCAAGGGATGTAGTATGTTGAACACGGCCAGCAGAGTGGATGAGGCCATGAGAGGAGGGGAAGAAGGGGGGAGAGAGCAAGACAAGAGAGAGGACCAAGAGAGAGAGCCAAGAGGGAGCTAAGAAGACCAACAGAACTCATGGCCAGAGTGACAGGGAAGGGGGTTGGGGTGAGAAGTGCTAAGGGGGGCCACAGGTACTGACTGAGCCTGGAGGCTAGCAGACACTTTGGTATGTTAATAGGCACCAGTTAGCCCTTTGAGTTTCTTTTGCACCTGACAAGACCTAGGGAAAGTTCCCAGGCTGTTATAGTGAAAGCTGCCTCAATTCATGAATTACCAATAATAGCTAATTGTAATTTAAACATTTTTTTAAAAATAGGGCCTCTCTATGTAGTCAAAAGTGGCTTCCAATTCCCGTCCTTGTCCCTCAGATGTATGCCACCACACTCAACAATTTTCTTTTGACAGAAGCAAAAGAAGACAATAAAGACAAATTCCCTCTAAAGCAATGATTCTCAACTATTTCGGATCGAATGACCCTTTCACAGGGTTGCTTAAGACCTTTAGAAAACACAGACTTTTACATTACAATTCATAACAGTAGCAAAATTACAGCTATGAAGTAGCAACGAAAGTAATTTCATGGTGGGGGGGGTCACCACAAAATGTATTAAAGGGTCGCAACATTAGTAAAATTGAGGATCTTTAGAAGGCTAGCAAAACCAAGCAGAGTGAATTCCCCCTAATAAGTCATCAATGCCTCCCAGCCAGTTAGGGATCAAAAAAAGTCCCTGAAGTCCAATCTAATCCTAAAGCATACCCCTCAATTCTAGGTTATGGGCTTCTCTTAATTTTTAGTGCCGTGTTTTTATTAAGTTCGTGAAAGGATTATGGGCTCCATGATGAAACAAAAGAGGAACTGAGCTACATACAGGTAAAGGAATATTAAGTAATTTGTTCATCTTGTAATAAATAAGGTGGAGGACTGGGTGAGGTGGCACACCCAGTAATCCCAGCACTCTGGGAGGCTGAGGCAGGACTGCAGAGTTGTGGGCTAGAAAACAAGACCCTGTTTCAAAAACAAACAACCATAAATAAATAATCAGGGGCTATAGAGATGGCTCAGTGGTTAAGGCCATTTGCTTTAGCAGAGGACTTGAATTTGGTCCCCGTGGCTCATAACCACGGTAACTTCTGCTGGGGGGGTAGGGGGGACCTGATGTCCTCCTCGGAACTTCCACTGGCAGGCACCAGGCACGCACGTGGTGCACATGTGTACACACAGGCAAAATACTCACACACTTAACATAAACAGGTACCGAGAAGAAAGAAGAGAAAACCCAGTCTAATCAAAGGTGGTGCTTTTAACGCCCCGTTCTCAGGGCGACAAAAGGAGACCTTGGCCATCAATCCGCTGGCCCTTGCAGGCTGGGGTCCTGCCTGGCTGCTCCTGCCTCCGGCCCCCTCCCACCTCCCGGCAGCCTTTGCGCGGGGAGGCGGGCCCGCCTCCGGCTCTCCCACTCTCAGAATCTCTGTGGCGGGAGTTTTGAAGAGCCGGGTGCACGCAGAGGCTCCAGCAGCCGGCCTCCCGCTCCACGGTGCGGGGCTGGGTCGGGGCCCACGAGTGGGTCTGGGTGGCTGAGAGCACAGGGTCCCCCTACCGGGTCACCGGGAGGACGCGGGCCCAGCCCGGAGAAGCGACGCGGTGCTGATCAGCGCCCTGAAGCCACTGTGCGGCAGGCCGACTCCAGCCAGGGCGCCGCCCGCAGTTGCTTCCGGGCCCTCCTGGAGGGAGCAAGGACTTTGCTGCAGCGTGTCACGGAGCCTGGAGCACGCGGGGAGGGGAGCGAGGAGGCCGGGGTCCCACACACGCCCAGTCCCGAGCCGCCGAGCCCCCGGGGGCGCGGCCTGCGCATGCGCACCCCTCAGCCTTCCCGCCCGCGCACGCTCGGTCCGGCCGCACACAGGGTCATGGAAACCTCGGACAGAACTGGGGGCGCCTTCCTGAAAGGTGAGGAGACACGCCCAGTAGGTGGGGGGGGGGGTGGTCTGCGTGACGCGCGCTCGGAAGCCCTTCCTGGGCTACCAGGATCCTCTGATTCAGGATCCTGAGCAACCTGTGTAGACCACCCACCCCAGGCACTGTGTGGCCTTCATCTCTTTCGGAGTCCCTGCCATGACACCTATGCGCCCCCCTTCCCCGTGCGTCCTGAGTCTGCGGTAGCTGGCAGGAGCATCAGGTCCCATCTTAGCTTTCTGAGAGCCTCACCTATGGGGCCGCCCGGGCACTTGTGGGATGAGGAAAAGTAATTATTTTGGAACCTACTCAGAGCTGACACTTGTGGAACGCTCTTACTTTTGTCGAGCCAACACGTTCCTTCATTTCACTGGTAAGGAGAGCAAGGCTTGTTCCTCCTTTGCTTAGTAGGGTCCTCACGGTTGAGCCCCCGGGGTGCCTGTTCCCAGGCATGACTCCCTAAACTGAGGACTGGGCTGCCCTGATGCTGGTAGAGTTTCACTTTGAGGAAAGATCTGTGTGGAGGGACTTGGAGTGCGAGAGCTGAAAGAATAGACAGACCAGCTGTTTGCACGATTCTGTAACCAGGGGTGACTTGTTTTTCTAGTATTACTACACTATTTTGTAACAGAACCAGGTATTGCATTTGCTTTGCCACTGTTAACAGTGGGACTCCTGAAGGGGGGAAAAAAAATCTGTTTTGGAGACAGTGTCAAACCCATGCTAACCTATGATACTTCTTAGGCAGCTGAATTTCTGGTCCTCCTGCTAGAGATGGGATTATAGGTGTGGGCTTCCAAGCCTTGTTTGTGTTGTATTAGGCTTAAAAGCTGGGACCTACTGCATGCTAAAGAAGTAGTTTACGAACTGTATGTACTACATCTCCAGCCCTTCTTCAGATTTTACGTGTGAAAAAAAAAGAATGGCAGGTGAAAATTATATGCATCTAATTTCCTTCTCCATAATTTTTTTTTAAGACAAGGTCTCCTGCAGCCCAAGCTGGCCTCCCAACTTGCTATATAGCTGAGGCTGCCCTAGAATTCTTGATCCTCTGCCTAATCCCTAAATGCTAAGGTTATAGTCATGTGAATATGCCCAGCTCCACAAACAAAATTTTACTATAACAAAGCTATATTGGCTTGTTAACCTACTGCCTAGGCTATGGCTATGAAATTGTGTTGTTGGAAAATAGTCCGGCCCAGAAAGTCTGGAATAATTCCTGTTTCTCTACAGAAAGCAGAATCCAGGATAATTAAGCCCAGGTTAGGAAGAGTCTTAAGTACCACCAAGAGAGCAGTGACAATATTTTGAATAGATTCCTAATAGAAATTTTCATTTATTTTCTAACATAAATAGAAAGAGAAGAACCTGTTGAGCAGAGGGTATTGCAATTTCCAATGTGTATTTCCCCCTGCTGATGTCTTGCTTATTTTCAGATATTGTAGCCTATGTTGAAGTATGGTCTTCCAACGGGACAGAGAATTACTCAAAGACATTTACAAAACAACTTGAGGATATGGGGGCAACGGTAAGAAATTAATATCAGAATGATTGATAGCCCGCTGGCATTTTTTTTGTGAGGGGAGCTGTTCCTTTGAACATGAAGAACATGGCAGTGGGTGAGCGGTGGGTGACAAAATAGGAGTTGGGCAGTAAGGCTTACAGAGCAGATGGTCTTGGAGAGTGTGAGGAGAAGTCTAGGAGGAAGCAGGAATCTGGCATTGGTTCTGTAAGGACCAGTTCTTGAAGTCAAAAGAATAAACATACAGGAGAATGAGCAAGTTCCTAAGGGAAGGCTGTGACCTCAGGCATAATGGAAACATCTCATAGCCATTTGACTATCCATATCTACAGCTCAGGGCAGTCACAGCTATAGATTGTGACATGGCCTCAAGATCTCTGAGTTCAGGAGAGAATATTGGCCTTGCTCAGATTCCAGTTGGAGTGAATAGAGCTAAAGGAGGTGGCCTTTTGAATATTTAAGGACCAGTGTTGGCCTGACCACCAGCCCAGGAAAAAGAGAGAAAAATATGTCAGGAACACGTGGAAGCAAGCGTGGAAGAATTTGAAAGACGGGGATTCAGCCAGGTGTTGGTGATACCACTCCTTTAATCCCAGCATTTGGGAGGCAGAGGCAGGTGGGTTTCTTGTTCAAGGCCAGCTTGGTCTACATAGTAAGTCCCAGGACAGCCAGAGCTACACGGAAACCCTATTTCAAAAAACATGCTCGAGGAAAGGTAAGATATACTTGAGGTTTAAAAACTGCTAGACAATTGTCTTAGTTCACTTCCCCATTATAGAGGTAAAGGGGTTTGAGATGAATCTGAGAATCCTGGCTTAGGGGGAAATGGAGACAGTGACCATAGACTGCTCTGGTAGGGAGTTTTGCTTTGAACAACGTGTGCTTATTCATTGGATAGATAACTCAAGGCAGCATAAGCACTGGTGTTCTAGCAGTACCTGCCTTGCTTATCCACCCTAATCTGTGCGAAGTTAGGTCAAAGGCTTAGAGTAGCAGAATCTGCACAGACGAACTACCTGCCACCTACATTGGAGTTGTTAGGAAATATTGTAAATTGAAAATGAATTTAATCACACAGCTTAGCAGCTCTGTGTGTGTGTGTATGTGGAGCTGTGGCTCTTGGGACTAAGATCTGTTGTTCTTTGCATCACGAGATATGCTGCATATCCTACAGTTCATAGCCAGCTTAACAAAGTATTATTTCCTACCACCTCAAAATAAAACAATGCTAAGTAAAACCAGGCAGGAACTTTCTGTATGAGAGGCCAAGCTATTTTCCATTGAAGAGGCACAGCATATTTTGTTACACTGACATGTGGGACACCAAGTAGAGTTTCATTTTTGGAGGGTTGGTGTTTAAATTCTGGCTCACGCCTCTGTCTAGATGTAATCCATGGCAGCCCAGTCCAAGGGGTGGGATTTTTCCAGACCCTCTTTTGTTAAAGATGTGCTGCTTGTTGTCTGATAGCCTGAAAGCTTCACTAGGATGGGGGTCTTCTGATTGCTTTGAGAATGGCTGTGCAGAAAAGTACCACCTGTGCAGGCTGTGAAATCTGTAATGAAATCCAAGAGAAGCCAGCTGTCCTTTGCTTTATACTGGTTTTGTGCTGGGATAGAATTCTTAGTCTCACAAACAGTAGTACACCATCACTGACTTAGGTCTCCAGCATCTTTGAGGTTCTGGAAGGACAATCATTTTAAATATGCTTTTAAACGTGTGGGTGGAGAACAAGAGCACATGGCAAATGTGTGGTCAGAAGACAGCTTGAGGCAGTCTCCTACAGTGCAGGGCCTGGAGAACACATGTAGGTCATCAGGCTTGGTGGTGCAAGCATCTCCCTTTACCCACAGAGCCATGACACCAAACCCCAAATGTTTTTAATCTCTTCCTATTTGTATTTGCTTTCATATTTCCAGTGTAGAGTACTTTTCAGGGAGTATAAAGTCCAAGACCCCCCCCCCAATACCTGAACTTACAGATAGTACCAAACCATATCTATGCATATGCACACCCATGAGCTGGCCCAGTGGTGCAGGACAGGATCCCAGCTATTTGAGAGAATGAGGCACATAACCAAGTTGAAGGTACCTTATCGGATCCTGTATCACAGTCTAAAAAAAAATAAAATAAGAAAGGGTTGAGGATGTAGGTATAAGACTTAGTAGTAGAACATCTGCCTTGCATACTTAAAACCATAGGTCCAAGCCTCCCCGGTGCTGGGATTACAAGCGTGGACGGACCACCATGTCTGACTTTTTACACAAATGCAGTGAATTAAACTTGAAGTTGGCTTTTGGTTTTGTTTTTTATTCTTTTGGCTCTTTTACTTTTGGGGGGGTCCTGCCAAATGGAGGCTTATTATTACTCATGAATGCCTGGCCTTAGCTTGGCTTTTCTTGCCAGCCTCTCTCTCTCTCTCTCTCTCTCTCTCTCTCTCTCTCTCTCTCTCTCTCTCTCTCTCTCTCTCTCCCCTCCCCTCCTTCCCTCCCCCTCTTCCTCTCTCTCTCCTTTCTGTCTTTTTTATTATTTTATGTGCATTGGTATTTTACCTGCATCTGTGTCCGTGTGAGGGTGTCAGATGTTGAGTTACAGACAGTTGTGAGCTGTCATGTGGGTGCTGGGAGTTGAACAGGTGGTGCCTCCCTCCGACTCTCCTTTTTTCTTTTTCTTTATCCTCAGGAGCTCCTCCTGATTTGGTCTCTCCCACTCTCTTTATCCTTGAAGGATTCCTACTCTGTTCTATGCTTGGAAACTTTATTGTTGGAGTAAGGGTGACATGAGCAGAAGGGGGTAAGGGTGATGACATGAGCAGAAGTGTTATTGGGAGGTAAGGATAACAGAAATGCTAACCCTCATTCTGACTGCAGCAGATGTATTTTGGTGAGGAGAGGTTGAGACAAGGTCTCACTATGTAGCTCTGGCTGACCTGGAATTCTGTGTGTGCCAGGCTGACCACAGACTCAGAGAGAACCTCCTGCTTCTGCCTCCTAAGGGCTGGGTGCTGAATAGGAGTTACGTACCACCATGCCACGAGAAAGCATCATGCCACATCCACCACAGGATTTTTTTCTGGTGCATTTTGAGAAGTGAAATTCTCACTTAAGGGTTTTGATCATTTCATTTTGACAAATTTTGAACAGTGTTCCTGTTGATATCTTTATGAAATTATGAATAGATAGCAAGTGAGTTATTTGGTATTGGGATTTTGTCCACAGGTTTCAAAAACTTTGAACAAGCAAGTGACCCATGTGATCTTCAAAGATGGGTATCAAAGCACCTGGGACAAAGCCAAGAAGACAGGAGCAAAGTTGGTTTCCGTCCTCTGGGTTGAAAAGTAAGTAGTTGTCCTCTGCTTTTCTCCTACAGTTTTCCAAGATGGGTCAAAGTCTAGTTTTAATGCTTTGCCTGGGTCATAGAATTTGATATTTGGTTTTCATCTTAGCCTTCTGTGAAGGAGAGTACCTTAATATCTTTAAGCTTTAGTTTCTGCAGCTGAAAAATAGATGAAGTGCTGATTCTGTGTAGAGAGAAGGTGAGCAAGAAGGCCTAAGGCAGCAGTGTGCCTTCGATGTTCAGGAGACAGGGAGAGTGTGACAGAGCACTTTGTATTGCTACCTAATGTTTCTGTTAGGTAATATTAGGTTGTTATTGCAGGAGCCTATTTTCTCACAGCTCTGGAAACTATACCTCAAGCATCTGTTGCTTTATACTTGTACTTGGTGAAGCAGAAAAATGTGTGTGGATATTGAGTAAGTCTTCTTTTTGCTTTTAAGTCTCTTTAAGTTGATCAAATTTGAGTAGCCAAACCTGATTTGGGGCACAGGTTGTAAACCCCCCCCCCCAGTGTGATAACAATCCCATTACTCCCTACTTTGGGTCTGAGGTGGAGGGAAAGGGTAGAGGCAGGAAAAGGATCACAGTTCAAGGTCATCTTCTGCTATATAGGAAGAGTGGTTTGAGGCAGTGTGGACTATGTAAGACCTACTCTTCAAGAAGATAAAAAGCTCTTTGTATTAGAGATGCAGGAAATATCATAACTGGTCTGATATAACACTTTTATTTAATTCCCTTTTCCAGTCAGAATCACTGAACCTTTGTATACACCACTATTCTGTAGATAAATGTCTTTCTGCAGGTTTAAACGCCAAATATTGGGTTTTTAGCTCAGGGGGGTTTGCACATTGTGATTTGTGATAGATGCTGCCTAATTTTCCTGGAAAGAATACCTTAATTCCTATTCTTTCAGGTAATATGAAAAGATATGTTCTAATTTGTTAGTAACAAGTATTGTTTTTCCTTCTCATTTTTCCTAACTTTAAGTGAGCTAGGATGACCTCTGTGAATATCGGTCTGGCTTCTCTTTTTAAATGCCCAAGGTCACACATCACTTTTTCACTGGCTGTGGTCATGTGTGTGTGACTTCCAGTGACCCATTGTGTGGGGTCTGTTGGGCACCAGGTTTCAGACTGTAACAGACTCTGATGAAAATGACCTTTCCTTTGGACAGCAGAAAACAAAAGATGAAGACCGCAATTAAAGATCAACCTGGCTCTCATCTCCTGGGTCTTCTCAAGAAAGTTGTTCATAAGTTAAAATTCTAAAAGTCATTAACACTCATATAAAAAAAAATTGAAATGCATCCATTAGCTGTTATCAGCCTGTTAAAGGAAGGTCTAAGATTGCTGACTGCAGGTCTAGGACCTAGGCCTGTGGAGGAGTAACCCTTAGGGGTCAGTGTGGCTGGCAAGTGCATGGCTGTGCAAGGGAGGAGAGCATGAGAACCCTGTAGTGGCCACTTCCCAAAGCACTGCATGACATAGTGGTGATCAGCAAGTCTGCTGCTGTAAGACTCAGTGCCTGGCTACCCTTTGCAAAGTCTCAGCATGCCCCTAACATGTGCATTCTGCTTAGAAGAGGTGGGATGGACTGTAGGTGGCATTCGACCTAAGGTCAGAGAGCCATTTGGCTTCTAATGTGACATGAATTAAAATGGGCCTGGCAAGCTTCAGATGACTTAGTGGACACTATCACATTTCTACAAATGCCTTTCTTTGTACAATTACATAATTACATTACCTTTTTTAGCACCTAGTTCAGCTACAGTTTCCTCCAGCAATATTCTAAGAACACAATCCTATGCCCTGTGATGATTCAGGTCTGGATCCAGCCAGCCTGGGAAAGATGGAGATTCTGTTTTCTTCTGACCCTCACTAGGTACAACCTGGTGTTCAATACCCAGCACTCAGATCCCAGTCCAGCTCCACTTGCATCTTCTTTGCACAGAGACCCCTCAAACACTCCTTCCTGTGCTCTCTCTCCCTCATGTTCCAGGGGGATAGCTGTTAGGACTGTGTGCTGTATGTCCAGTACCCAATGCGATGTGTCTGTGTTTGAAAATAACACACAGCTACTTAGGTGCCTCGCTGATTGGTTTAAGGGGTAAGGGGTGACAGTTTAGAGGCGGTGAGGGAGCAGTGGGGCTGGCCCTGGTGAGAGCATGGGAATTACAGGTTTTCTCTTGGGGAGAAGCCTTCTTAGTGGAAGGAAGCAGCTGTGGCCTCCATGGGCTCTCAGGTGGCTACAGATGGTGGTGTTGGCACTGCTTAAAGCACTGTTCTCCTTGGCCACTAGATGGAGTGCTGATGTTACCATTTTACATTTCTGAAGACCACTAGAAGTCTAAAAGGAAGTGTTTTCTTTAATATTAATGGGGTACCAGGTAAATGTGAGGCTTTTTTTTTTTTTATCAGTGCAGTTTGGTTTTATTATTTTTAATTGCGTGTCTGTGTGGATATGTGCATTCTGTGTGGATATGTGCATGTGAGTTGTTACCCAGGGAGGCCAGAGGCATTAGATCTCCTTGGAGTTGGAGTTACAGCTGGTCTGTAACCTGCCTGACATATGCACTGGGAATGGAGCTCCAGTCCACTGGAAAAACATTACATGTCCTTTACCACTGATTCATCTCTCTAGACCTTGTTTTTGTTTTTGAGGCAATGTCTCACTTTGTAGCCTGAGCTGCCTTGGAACTCAAAGAGAGTCACTTGCTTCTGCCTCCAGAGTGCTGGGATTAAAGATGTTTATCATCATGCCTAATTCAGTGTGAGTTTTTACCGAGTACCTTCATACCTTAACACCTGTGTGAACATGTAAGTCCCTTGCCTAGATTTGTTACTGACATGTTTCACTTCATGTTGTGAACTGACTGCCTGTCACTCCTGTAGTTGAGTTATTGAGGTACTTAATCTAAAGTTAGACAAAACATGTCTTCTATAGCTGTCACCTAGACCAGGCACAAATTTTGCTGATATGAATCAAGCCTTTCCCCAAACTAGTAGCTATAGAACATGTCTAGTAATTTTATAAACTTGGGCAGATGGTCTATGAGCTAAACTTCGTTTGTTAACCAGAAGGAGGCAGCAGTGCTTACATACCAGCTCTGGTGCAGGCATCTCCAGACTAGCCAATCTTGTCCTGATGGTGACAGTATTCTGTGTGTGGAAATAGGGCCCCCAGGCTCAGTTCCTCTTATGTTCAGATGAGTGTCCACCAGTTAGGCCCCTCCTTTTACTAGTGTGTGTGTGTGTGTGTGTGTGTGTGTGTGTGTGTGTGTGTGTGTGTGTGTGTAAGCTGGTAAGAACAACTGGGGATTAAAGTCGTAACCAGAGAAGGAGCACATGAGAGACATTTCACCCTTGCTGCTCTTGGGCCACTCTTGCTGACTTTCCTTTCATCTCCAACCTTCTTTCATCTGATCATGTATGTATCTGTAGCTCAGGCTGGCCTTTGGCTCTCAGCAGTCTGTGCTCCTCCCTCCCTCCCTCCCCAGTGTTGAAATCACTGGCATGAGTCAGTGCACCCAGCTCTTCTGCTAGTACCTCTAGAAGCTATGGGCTTCTAGAGGCTTAAATGACGGGATTATTTCTTAAAATCAGCCTTGTAAATGTATGGCTTACACCAAGTTTGGTGGTTCATGTCTGTAACGTCAGCACTTGGGAGGCTGAGACAGGAGGGTCACTGAGAGTTCAAAGCCAGGTTGGGTTATATAACTAGTTCCAAATAACCTGAGGTACAATGTGAGACCTGTCTCAAAATATACCTGTTTAAGTTTACAGATCAATGTGTTATAACGACCAAACTCAAAATACCGGGATTTTATAACCCCTCAGAGTACCACCTGCCCCTTACAGTCAGCTCTCTTCTCTCCAACCCCCATCCCAGAGCAGCCTCTGGTCTGGATTCTGTAGCCAGAAGTTGGTTTCCCTGCTGTAGGATTCCAGGCAGACGGACTCTTCCAGCATGGACTGCTTGGCTTCCTTCAGTCAGTGTGATATTTTAGAGATTTCTCCATGACTTATGCAGCAATAGTTTCCTTTCATTTGTTTAGCCAAGTAGTGTCTATTGCATGTACATACCACAGTACATTTGCCAATGGTAGAAATTTGAACAGTTTTCCATTTTTGGTTACTATGAATGAAGTTGTTATGGAGATCTGTGTTTGTGCCTTTCTGTGTTTTCATTTCTCGTGGTTTATTACCCAAACAAGATGGCCGCATGGTTTTATGTTCCTACAATAGTGTGAGTATCCTTCTGTCCCATGCTTTCACCCACACTTGGGATTTGTCTATCATGCGAATTTAGCTATTGAGAGTGGATATATAGCAGTCTCTCATAAGTTCTAACTTACATTCCATAGAATTCTCAGTTGAACTATACAGTTCACTGCTTTTAAACATACCTCAAAGAGTTGTGCAGCCATCTCCACAATTTTAAAGTATTTTTTACCTTCAACTGAAGCCTGTGCCCTTTAGCCATAACTCTGCATGTCTGAAGCCTCAACTACTGTTGGTTACTCTGCCTGTATAGTTTCCTATTTATGGGCATTTTGAATAAATGCCATCACATAGTATCACAGCATCTGAGGTTGTCTTAGCAAGGTCCATCATGTTGTTTGCTTCCTTTTTCTGACCAAATAATGCCTGATTATCCGGATGTACGAGCTCGAGCATACACACGCTTGCACCACACTCCTAATTTATGTGCTCTTGTCAGTCCCCTCCCCCCATACCACCCTAAGGGAGCCAGCAGCAGCTGCAAAAGCAGCCACAACTGCTAGAGAGGCTCACCACACACTGTAGTAGTTCATCAAGTCGTTCCTCTAACTTCAGTAACTATTCTGAGATAATAGGACAAGGAATATATGGTAATAAAAAGCTACTAGTTGCTAAGATGTGGAAGGGAAATAGGCTGGGTAAGGATGAGGATGAGTTTGGATCAACTGAGGGAAAATAATGAGTGAAAAGTAGATGGAAACGAGAAACCTGGATACTGTTAGGATCTACAGTTTAAAGATTATTACAGCTACATAAGGTAAGAAAAGGGAGAATAGTGGAGAAGAGAGAAGAAATGTGGTAAGAATGAGAGAAAGACTGGGCTATGTATAGAATGACTATAATCAACCAACACCAAAATCAAAGCAAGACCGTTAACATATTTTTGCAGCCAGAGAGATGGCTCAGAGGTTAGTAGCATTGGCTGTTCTTATAGAAGACCTGGGTTCAGTTCCTAGTACCCACATGGCAGCTCACACTATCTCTCATGCCTTATTCTTGTCTCTATGGACATGGGGCACATAAGTAGTGCATAGGTAAACATACAGACTGAACACTCATACTCATAAAATAAAGTAAAAATAATGTAAAAAGGTATTTCTATAAGAATGAAAATTGAAAAACAAAGTGAAGATGTTAAATTATGTCATCACTATCTCTTCCTTGTTGGGATGGGTTTTGAGTTCCTCCCTGCGATGTCTCATGTAGCACAGTACTAATGAGGGAGATGGAGTTTTTTCTAGTTCAGACTTCAAAATCAGACTTGTGTGTCTGCAGTGTTCAAACTAATGATCTTTTAGGTTGAGTTTCTGCTCTTTTGCCAGTAGGTGTCAGACAGTCCTTGAGTCTTTTTCTAGTCCTCTAAATGGAATGATGTTGTTGGGAAATTTCTATATCATTGTTACACACCTATTAGATGGTAACCCTTTCCCACTTGGGTTACCTTGTTGTCTGGACATGTTCTTACCTGGGCTCTGGCTGCCTCTGCTCATGTCTGCGTCCATGGTCTTCACTTAGTTTTAGATCAGACCCATGATTACTTAGTTCTGAGCTCAGCAGAAATTTTCCGTGTTGCTGGTCACCTATAGAGTTTGGAAGATGCTTCCTTCTTAGGGTATTGCTTTCAGGGTGCCAGTGGATAACCTCATCCTAGGCTTGCTCTGATGTGTGACATGCCGGCTCTATCTTCACAGCCTCTTAATCCTGAGTCTGTCGGCCTGGGTAGATATCTAACCCCTGGTCGTATCTCAACCTCTAGGTATATCTCTAACCCCTGCCCCTATCTCTAGTTCACTGGTTCCTGTGTCTCCAGTGTAGGGAGTGAAGGTGAGTAGGGAGTGCTGATTTTATTTTGGTAGTGCTTGGGAGTGAACCCAGTGTGGCTCACTTGATATATAAACACCCTAACACTGAGAGACTCTCTCAGTCTCTTGGGGCATGAGGAAATGCAGCCTCCTTCCTCACCACCTGTCAAGTGCGTGGATTACAGGTGTGCACTCATATGTCTGACCCTCTTCTGCCTTTGCATTGGGGCAAAGGAGACCATGTAGAGAAAGAAGATTTTGGAAAATCTAATTTATACCAGCTTATATTTGGCATTTTATGTATTTACATATTATTGTAAAATATATTAGCTTTTGAACCTGCTGCCTGATACATACGTAGTTCTCATGCTGAATGTTATAGCAAAGACAGTTACTCACTGGACTGCCTTGACTTGGTTCCACAGATGCAGGATGGCTGGAGCACATGTTGATGAATCTTTATTCCCTGCAGCGAATACTAATGAGCAGTTACCAAACCTAATTAAAAGAAAAGTAAGTATGCAATTTCAGTGTAGACAGGAGCATTATGAATGTGTACACCCTTGGCTTTTTATTCTAGAAATCACATTTTTTGCAGGTATTGTTCAGAATATCTTAAGTTGCTGTTGAGTTCATTGCTGCTCTTACATAAAGTTTCTAGTTAGCTGTAAATTTTCTTTAGTATGTGAATGCTTTGATATAATCTATGGGAGATGGAAGAGACCAGGCAGCCTTCTGTGTCTGGTGGTTCTTTTTTTTTTTTTTAATTTTTATTGTATGTGTTTGTATGTTTTGTCTCCATCTGTGTCTGTGCATTGCATGCAGATCTGCTGCCATGGAGTCCAGAAGAGGGCATTGGATCCCCTGAAGCTAGAGTTGCTTGTGGACCACCAAGGAAGTGCTGGGGCTTGAACCCAGGTCCTCTGCAAAAGCAGTCAGTGCTCTCAACTGCTGAGCCATCTTTCCAGCCCCCTAGTTTTTGTTTGTTTGAGTGTAGTTCACTGTGAAGTATCAAAGTACCTTGTTCTCAAGAACCACTGTTAGATATTGACCTAATCAAGATTGAATGGAGTGGATGAAAACTGTGTAGTTCCAGCTGAGTAAAAGAAGTAGCTATGGGCTTCTCCACACTTTTAGTAGATACTGCATGATGTGCATCCATTATGTTCATCACAGTAAGCCAGGTACCAGAGAGGTGACGAGGCTACTCCTCCAAGGCTTCTTCTCCAGACTTCCTCATCTGGTTCTGGGCAGTTCTTGATTGTGACATGTCCAAGTAAAGGACTTGGAAAACACATCAATAGTACATGTTGTACATTAATACATTTGGTAAACTCAGGCACAGTGGGTGCCTCTTATGTTTTTTTTCCCTCTGTCACATCATCTCCACTAGTGACCTGGGTAAGAGTCTGAAGTGCTCACTATATGTTAGCATATGAACCTGCTCTGCACAGTGAAGCTCTGCTCAGCTAGATGTTTAGTATGCTGGGCTGCCTTTTCTTCCCCGCTTAATAGTGTGTCTTTGGTCATGTTAATTTCATTTTATATTGCAAATGGGCATTTCCTATATTATATATGTATACACACACACACACACATACACATAGATATACCCACAGTCAGTTTTTAATGAAGCATGTTATATGTTAAATGTGTATTTACTTCTTGTGCTCACAAACATAGAAGTACAATTGCTGGCTCAATGTGCAAATAGCCTTAGATTTGGAGATACACCAATAGTGTGCAAAAGCATCTCTTTATTTTCCAGTGTTTTTGTATTATCTTTATACTTTGTCTAGTCTAATGTACAAATAGTGACAACCTTTAGCCTACACTTACAACTTCTAAAAACTTCTTTTTTCTTCCCTTTTCCAAATGCAGTTGCAAGTTAAATATGACCTGAAAAACATTATCATGTTAGGTGCTTGGAGGGCAGTTTCTACTCTCTCCCTCTCACCCTGCCCCCAGCCTGACCATGGCTTGTTGCTCAGGAAAGAGCAACATCATCGTATTATCTGTTCTCTCTGTCTGGATCATGCTCCCCTGAAGTCCATTGGAGACCCACTTTGCAGCCTTCTGTGAGTCTGAGTAGATGTCACATTACCCAGTAGCCCTCTGGACACTCCTGTCACAGTAGTAGGTCTTTCTTTTGTGGCTGCTGCCCTGATTCTATCCATTCTACCCTGTGACCTAAGGTGCTGCATGGATTTGGAAACATTACTGTTTTCAGGTTCTATGTATGAATCCTTTTTTTTTTTTCCTTAAGCAACTGAACCCCGTTCTAACTGCCACCATTTGTCTAGTGATAGGAAGACACCCAATACTAAGGTCACCAAGTAGAACCTCTACCCTCTGCTTACCATATACCTATGGACTCTGCCCCATGGAAAGAGTCCTCCAGGCACACCGCTGATCCTCCTGACAGAACAGTGTGCACAAGCTGTCCTCAGTGTGCAAAGCAGCACTGTTAAGAAGTACATTGCACACTGCAGCAGTGAGCTGCTGGCCTCCTCCTGCTCCCAGCCAGCACTAGTACAACCAAGTTGTTTGCTAAGGCTCTTGTCTATCACTCATCTCTTTGGTGCAAGCTCTTAAATGCTGAGAATTGGTGCCTGACACAAAAGGGATGTGGTAATGACCAAGTGCCTACCTGACCTAGCACGTCAAGAACAAAACTAGAGCATGGGTCTACAAGGGCCAGAAGCAGCTAAGACAAAAAAACTATGGTTTGTTTGTTTCTTTAGTAACTGAAATAATTGCTTTCGTTTCCTGTGTTGTTTGAGAGAAGTTAGTGTGAGAATATCACAGTGCCTAGGCTGCTTCTGAGAACCTTCTTGGATGCTGAGAATGCCTCAGAAATTAAATAGCTCAGAAAATCATTGCCTAGTATACAGCCTTTCACTTCATCTTCTAAACTCTGTGCTATTCATCAGAACAATGCCCCAGAAATAAATATTGCCAACCCACACACAGTTTCACGAACAACTCATTTAAGTTCTTTTAATTTTGATGTCATTGAAGTTACCAGAGTTGTATGGAAAGGGCTTTCTCTCCTGTTTGAAAAAGTCAACACTCCTAGGGACTGGGAAGATGGCTCCGCAGTCTTTCTTCAGAGGACCTAGCTGGGTTTTCTTCCCAGCACCTACATGGTGGCTCACGATTGTCCCTAACTCTAGTTTCAGGGGATCTGATACCCTCTTCTGGCCTCTATGGGCACCAGGCATGCATATAATGTACATACATAAACTAACACAGGTCAGCATTTCTTCACATAATAAAAACAAGCAAATCTTTTTTTAAACAGACAATAAAGAACACAATATACTTTTATTAATGTTGATAACCTTTTTTGCCTAGCACAAGTGTATGCAGCCCAAAGATTTTATTCCTAAAACACCAGAAAATGACAAAAGACTTCAAAAGAAGTTTGAGAAAATGGCTGAAGAGCTACAAAGGCAGAAGACAACCTTAGGTAAGCCCTGTCCACTGGCCTGACAGCTGGAGGTATAGGGTCTGTGGTAGCTTTAAGGAGGAAGGGAGGAGAGAGCACAGCGCCATCTGCCCGCTGGAGACTGAGTTGTAACTGTGACAGCCACTGGGAAGGAAGGACATTCAGATAATCCTCATCAATAAGTGCGTGGAATTCTTACACGAGGAATGATTACAGGAGAAAAGCAATCTCCTTTCTACCTCATGCCTGCTATTTTTGTTTCATTATCTAGAACTTAGGCAGCATTTGCTCTGAATTCTGTAGGGAAACCACTTGGGCTCTCTTCCTGTGGTCAAGTTCATGTGTGGGTGTGGGTATATGGAGTAAGGGCAGTGTTCAGTAGGAGCACTTTCTGAAACCTGGATATAAAACCAGTTTTGAAGCCAGTCCACATTCCAGCTTTCTTGCTAGTTGTATGATTGTATACATATACCGATTTACCTGTGATCCAGTGGCTATCTCTGTTCATGAGGATGCCAACACCTATCATCAGGTAGGGCCTGGATACACCTGGATGAATAGTGCATGCCCTTACTGAGAGCTCAGCAAGGGCCACCTGGAAGCTGGCTCTGCTGCCAGTGTCATGATTCATGGTGGGCGTAATACTGTCTGTGGGAAGAGAGAATGGTACTGAAAGGGAGCAAGGATGCAGGAGGGAGGGGAGCGTGGTGAAGTGTGAAGCATTTTCTTGAACGTAAAGTTGAACTCTGTTTTCAGATGATGGTGTTCCTGTCATGCTGTTTGAGTCTCCTCGATCATCGGTGTACAATTCCACCACTCCCAATAGGAGCCACAAAAGCATCATGGAGAAGAGACTGCAAGAGATGAGGGAGAAAAGGGAAAACCTTTCTCCTACCTGTGAGTGATTGCTTTGTAAAATGAAAACTGTGCATACTGATGAATTGCAGGTGGACTAAGTCACTGATGACCTAGCTATTGTCTGTGAAACCTGGAAGGTTTTCCAACCACAACACTGTTGACTTCTGGGGACAATTCTTTATTGTGTGCATGATCTAAGCCAGTACTAGGCCTCCCTCACCTTGTGACAGACATTGTCCTATGTCTACTTTAGCACTGGGATCCTACTTCGAGGTAAATATTAGGAACTTCCTTGGTTATCAAGCAAACTGAAAACATTCATTTTATTTGGTTTAAGCTTCAGGCATGTTGGATCTTTAAACTCTCATCTCACATATGATTCTGTGAGTTAATGCTTTTGGGGCAATGATTGATTGATAGGAATTCATTTTTGTCAGTTTTACATCTACAATATATTTCACATAATTTTTCCACTCATAGTAAATTAAGCTTAGACTCTAGTTAGGTGTCATTTAATGTGTGTAGGGGATCAAGAGCAGAATGGGTAGACCTGCTGTTGTTCTCTCCAGTAGGAAATTCTGTGGTCCAGTTCAGTGACATGTCATTATTTTATCAGCTTCCCAGATGTTTGAACAGTCTCAACAGAACCCAAATACCACTCTGTGTGAAGCATCTTTGAACATTGCTCGTGAATCTTTAAGTTCAGGTAAAATTGTAATTTTTTTTGTGTGTGTGACAAAGTTATGAATTGAAAGAAGTGTGTGTGTGTGTGTGTGTGTGTGTGTGTGTGTGTGTGTATCTATGTGTATGTTTACTCACACTTGTACTTTTTGAGATAGACTGTTACTATGGAGCCCTGGCTGGCATGGAACTTACCATGTAGACCCAGCTGTCTCCAATTTAGAGCAGTCCTCTTCTCTCCTCTTGAGTGGTAACATTACAGACATGCACCACCATGCCCAGCTTTTATGTTGTTACTTCTTCTATACACTCAGGAAACTTCGTAAAACTACAACTTATGTTTCTCCTTGAAATTTTGGTATTATGCTAGTATTGACACAGAGCCAAGATCTCTTGCTTGAAGTCTATAGGTTCCTTCCTGGGAATTTGGTCTTTTGCTGTGGAACAAGTTGCTTATTTTTAGAAATTCTTGTGACTACATATGAACTGCTAAATGTGGTATAAAGCAAATCTCTCTGTGAACAGTAAGCATTAAAGAGGAATCGTTTCATGTTTAATTAACCTGTGAAGTACATTATTGAAAAGAGTGTATATAAAGTAGTGTGAGAGCCCTTGACTTTTTTAAAGATTATATAGCTTTCATGTGTCAAGTTCCTTACACTGTTCTCCTGTAAGTCCATGGGAAGGCCTAAACAAAGTCAGAAACCCTGAAATAAAACTGTGTTCTTTGTGCTTCAGGTACTATCTATATCTTGGAAAGCTACAAGAGGAGATTGAGCTAAGCTTTCTTCCCATCAGTGTGGTATATTCTGGCATTCTCTCCTGCGTGCTCTGGATTATTTACGCATTTATCTTTTTGTGTTCAGATTTTTCTGTTGGAAACAAATAGTGATTAGAATGCTGGCTTCTGGGTTTCACTGTAACACACATGCTCACACACCTGCATCCACGCACACACTCTCAGTGAACTAGGCTGCATCTGCACTCTCATTTACCAGAGAGAAAAGCAGGACATGGAGAGGTCAGGTGGATTATGATAGACCCAGGTTTCTGTATTAAATAGTCTTAAGAATTTATGCTCTTAATGATATACCATAGTGTGCCATGAAAAGTGTGATTATTTCATTCAGTTCCTAAGAGTACATCTGCATGTGTCCCTCCAGCTGCTGCCTTCAAAGCACGTCCACAAGGGCCTAGTGTCAGGCTGGCCTTGGCTCCCTCCCTCCTCAGAGCACAATGTCAAGGAGGGTGTGTCTTTGTGGCCTCTGCTGTTTGTTGTTTTTGTTTGTTTGTTTGTTTTTTGTTTTTTTGTTTTGTTTTGTTTTTTCAAGAGAGGATTTCTCTGTAGTTTTGGAGCCTGTCCTGGAACTCACTCTGTAGACCAGAACTCAGAGATCTACCTGCCTTCTGACTGCTGGGGTTAAAAAATGCTCTGTTCTTTTTTTAAAGTTGAACTTCCTTTGTCTCAAGCAAAAGTTAGAATCCCAGTATTGCCTCCAGAGTGTGTAGTTTCTCTAAAATGGAGGCTCTCAGCCAGCCAGCACTGTGCCAGTGGAGAACTAGCCTTGAGTGATGACCACAAGTTCCCAAGTGAGCAAAAATGGCGGCTGCCCTCTAATACCTCATCGTGTAGTGAGAGAACAGGGATCTTTATGCTGTGGTGAATATTGCTGTGTCATGGCAGGAGGGTGAAGCAGTGTGACTTGGTAGGGTAAAGGGATTTGCAGATGACACCAACACTTAGGTGGTTTTTGAAGGATGAATTGTGTTTACCTACAGTAAAATGTGGGACAAAGATGGGGCCTGATGTGAGGAGCCTGGAGGCTTCAGGTGGTAGGGGGATCTTAGCATTATGTCTGGAGTAAAGTGCATGTTTCACTGGAGGTCACAATGCTGAGGGTCTCATTTGAAATGTAAATGGAGCATGAGAACTTGCCAGAAGAACTGGGCAAAAAGGGAGCTGAGTGGTATTTATCAGGGGAAATGTTTCATAGAAGACAAAAGCTTAGCCAGCCATGGTGGCACACATCTCTAAACCCAGCATTTGGGAGGGAGGCAGGAGCAGCCAGGCCAGCTAGGTCTACATAATGAAACTCTCTCTTTAAAAGAAAACAAGGTAGTTTATGGTCAATTGCACATTTTAAAGATGTTTTTGTTTTTTAATTGACCTCTCCAGATGAATCCTTTGCCAGTTGTTCACACTCATCTATTTATGGTCTCTGTGGAAATCAGGAAAGGGAACTGGGAAGAAGATCTGTTAATGAGATGGCCGGGATGGCATGCCTTTCCTCACCAGTGTTGAAGACAAGCAGTTCTTACAGCTCATTGTTCCCCAACTGCCTCAGACAGCCAAGTCCTCAGAAAGCTAAGGATCATCCTCCAAAGGAGGGTACCAGCTGGCAGAAAGATGCTGCAGGTGAGAGAGCTGAGCGGGAGAGAGAGCAAGCTGCAGGTGTGTCTCGGGAGATGCCTGATGAGAAGCTCTGTCTGTCCCCTGCCACCGCAAGGGACATAGATGCCACAGAGGAACCCAAGAGTTGCTCAGCTAAGAGAAAAAGGCCAGTGGACTTGGGTTCACCCCCAAAAAGCAAACTCAAGAAGAAGAGGTACGATAGGAAATCTGCCCTGCCAATACAGCTATTCAAGTCTGACCATAGCCTGCAATTCAAGACCAGCCCCATCCTGGGGACTCCTGATGTTGGGGCTTCCTCTTATGAGGACTACTTTTCCCCTGATAATCTCAAGGAAAGGAATTCAGAGGCTCTTCCTTCTGAGGCTCAGACATTATCAAGCCCTTCCCTGTTCCACAGCAGAAGTCTCTCAAAGTGGGAGCGAAGCAGCATACTGGAAATGTATGATTTTACATGCATTGGTGACAAACCCAGGTCCATCAGCATTCCTGACCCAGTTTTAAAAAGTACTTCTTGTCTTGAGAAACCCAGCAAGGAGGAAGTAAATACAGTTTCTAGGTGCAATGTTGTGGAAACATCTGCTAAAGAAACCCCAGAACATTGCAGGCAGTCTGAACCTCAGCAGAGGGAGGACACAGCCCCGCAGGGAAGCACCCCTTCTGATATCCACAACAGCCCTGCTCATGGCAGCATACCCTCAAAAGGAGGTAGTAAGGAAGAAAGAGAACCAGTTGATGTAAAAGGCTTCCCAAAAGACAGTACCAGTCCTCCAGCATTGGCCTCTTCTGAAGGAGAAGCACACAGCTTCAGTTTTAGAGGCGATTGTAATGTAGAAAAATCTGTGGAAGAAAAGGAGAACAAGTCTACAGGATACAGTGAAAGTATGTGAATATCATTTTCTGAGTCTTTCTGTTCTGCCAGTATGCAATACTGTGTTTCCTATTTTAAATTTGTCACAACTTCATAATTTATTTTCCCTCCCCTTTTAAGGAACATATGTTTGATATTTCCAGTGATGGTCTTTAGGTGGCAGGCCCTAAACCTTCTGGTCAACTCTGCTGCCATGAATACACTTCCCCAGGCTTTGTCCCTGTGGATTGAAAAAAAAAAAAAAAAAAAAGTGGTAATGTTTAATAGTTGGCTTATGCCTTCTGTATGCCTCTGTCACTTAGTACGACAATACAAAGAGGTGGCTGATAGAGGGATTTTTTTTTTTTTTAACTTAGGTTTATTTAGGAAGGGTTTTGTATGTGATAGATACAGTAACTAGCAACATGAATACTCCATAATTAGGGAGGGTTTTTATTGTGAATGAGAGGAAGTATCTAGAGGCATCTGAACAAGTCCAGAGCAGAAAAAGAGAAATGGACTGGACATGGCCAGGGCTGTCTACCAGACAAGGGAGAATGGCAGGGGCAGAGCAGTAACATAACAAGAGTGCTAAGGGAATAAGAAGCAGAGAAAGAGAGGACAGTAAAATTAGCAGGAGTACCCAGGGCCAGGGGATAAAGAGTTGGGATCTGAGGTGACCAGAATGCTAGAGTAGGTGTTCTGTATAGTAAGTGCTTGTGAATGGGAGCTCAGGGAGTCTGGAGGCCAGCATGGGCTTTAATATGCAGCCTGTGTCCTTCGGCTACACATAAGGAACATGACATTTCACAAGTCCCTGAGGAATTCTGGCTTTTGTCTGATCACCAGAAACCCTCCTATAGTCCGGGTTGCACTCTTGAGCTGGGCAGAGACACATTTTGGACCAAGTCAGTAGGCTTGCCCTTTTGGACCTGACATGTTCCTACTGTAAAACTCTAGAGAGAATCAGCCATGGTTTTTCTATGAAAAATGTGAAAAAGTAAGTTTTGAAATTTGACATCAGTGTTTACTTCTGAAGCAACTTTGGGCAATGTTCAATAAAAACAAATATTCGAGGTCAGCCTGGTCTACAGAGCTAGTTCCAGGACTACCAAGACTGTTACACAGAGGGGGGAGAATTTGGTTAACTCTCTCTCCAGCCCTCAAGTAAGAATTTGGATGTCACTTTGATTTCTGCTTATTTTGCTTTAATAATGAGCTATATGATTATAAACTTAGATGCAAAAGTAACAAAAATATCAACAAATTTTGTGATCAAAATTGAAATCTTGGCCTTTGACTTTTTAAAATTTGATTGAAATTAAATATGACTAAATTGGCCCTTCATCATTTCTTTCCATATTTGAGGTGGCTTTAGCCACTATAGAGTAGACTTGTCAGGGGGAAATCATTATAGCTCCATCTCTCTCTCTCCCTTTCTTTCTATTTTGAATATAAGCTCACTCAAAATCAGCTCAAAACATCAATGAAATGATTTTTAGATTTTAAGCTGATAAATAGCTCAACTTTTGAATAACATATTATTTTCATGAGTTTTGTTACATCAAGGTTATGTGTTTTCAAAATATATAAAATCAAATTGACTCTAGTAAATATGAAAGAGTATATATATGTAAAGTTGTTTTGATAGTTCAAAATATCCTGTCTTGAGTTCTGAGTTTTTTTATGTTATATGATATTTATAAGTCATTTGATGTATGATATGTAAATGTAAGTTTAGTGGGACACAACTGGTTCCAAACAGGTTGGCACAACCTAAACCCCAGCATTGCAGGTGTACTTCTTCATCCAGGGCTTAGCCTTCCTGTACACAGTCCTGAATATCAGGCTTCAGAAACAGACAGTGAATGGTACAGGCATGGGATGCTCCTCCAGGATCATTGGAGGAGATTGAGAGGTTTGGTGATGATGAAAGGGGTTGGCTTGCTGGTGCACAGACAGGGACCCGTGTGACTCAGTTTGACTCTGATGGAAATGTTCTATAAACTGTCATGTCTTCCTACAAGACAAACATGGGCTTGTGGGGCAAGATAACACCTATCTAGCCTAAACCCACTCATTTTCCTTTACACTAGTAAAACTCATGGATATTTTACATTGTCCACAGTCAGCCCAGCCTGGACTCAGGCCAGTCAACTCTTTGGGGATCCACCATTGATACAATCATAAATCCTTGGCCTGAAATGGGAATTCTGTACCTGCTCCAGTGGGAGCCAGGAGGCCTGCTCTCAGCATGAGTTAGACCCTCCAGATCCCTCAAATGGAAATGAAAGACTTTCAGTGTCTGCCTTCATTTCACTTGCACTTGTTGACCCTAAGATAGTGTGCAATGAGGATCCTAAAGGAAGTTCCAAGAAAGATCACTAATAGACATTGAAACAGTGGGATATAGTCATTAACTCTCCACATTTTTATTCTCTAATTTTATGAACAATAAACAAGAAAATTTCTATTGTTAAAAAGAATAAACTTTCCTATCTCAAGTCTTCACTTCCTGCCTGTATTAATTTTTCAATTGCCATGGAAGAGTAGTTGTAGACCTGTTATGTCTGACACTTACTTCTAGTTGTAAGGCGACAGCAGAGAGGGAAACAGACTCCAGAGTCCTAGAAGACAGATGGTAGGACATGGTGTCAGCTAGTAAGTGTATTCAAGGGTGCTCCATAGGAGAGAGAGCAGTCAGGCATCTGGAAAAGTCCAGAACAGAGAGATAAAGAAGTAGACTGGAGATGGCACACTAGTAGGAGGATAAGAGAATAAGTGGGGGTAAAAGTGTCAAAAAGGATAGCCAGAGAGAGACAGTAGTGAGATCAGCAGGAGATGGCAGGGGTTGGGGAGGACCTTGGCTTTATAAAGAGGACAAATGCTGTCTGGAAGAAATGGAAGTGATAAGGGTTAGGATGCCAGTGTAGACTTTGAAATGTATAATAGATCCTTGCAGCCACAGGTATTTATCAATGGAGCCATATGTCCCTTCTGACAGACATAAGGAAAAATGACTCCTTTTGGCAAATGGGAACCAGTGTCACAAATTCCTGAGAAATGCTGACTTTAACAATCAGAAATCCTCCTATAGTTCAGGATTCTGGGTATGTGGACTGCCTTTTGGAGTTTGGGAATTGAAGTTTCCTTTGAACCTGACAGTGAGTAATTAGAAAAACACTGATACCCCAAGAGTATAAGTGATTGATCAGGCACCCAGAAGGCTCCTCTAAGGTTTTATTAACTGCGGACCAGGAGAGAGAGCATGTTTGTGTCTACTGAAGGTAAGCACAAATGACCAAACATCCTGTAGGAAGGAGGAGGCCAGTATAGTGACAAGCCACTGAGCCTCTGGCGGGGGGGGGGGGGGTTGATGACCACAAATGTGGCGGGAATCAGATCCTCGGGACCTCCGCTCCCCAGCAAGGCATGGAGTTCCAGTTTGTTTTTATAGTGTGATGAGAAGCCGCTGGGGATTTTGAGCTGAAGTAACCAAATCTGATTTGTTTTCATTGTAACCCTGGATACTTTGAAGAACAAACTGTAGTTTTAGTGTGTTTGCTAGAAGCAATTACTGTCAACAGTATTTCCTTCCAGATAACTGTGTGTATAAACATACAAATGAAATATATTTAAAGAGTTTCTCTTGGATACATAGAACCATATTATCCTGTTGCCTTAAATTGGCCTTTTAAAAACACTTAACATGTCAGATACATTCTTCACAGTGATATTTGTTTCTTTAGTATAATCTATATTAAGGATCAGTGATATTTCCTGTAATGAGTCAAAAGGATATAAAGACATTTTTCCAAATTTTTTGTTGATGGAATTCAAAATTGAGTAGTTTTTGTAATGCATATCTGTCCTTGAATGTTTCCTTGTGTAAGGGGAGGATGAGTAACCCTGTGACTTCATTGGGACTCTAGTAGGTGAGTCTCCCATCATACTTGATTGCAATAATTCTTGGTCCTGTCCAAGTCTAATGTTTATAAGGAGACAGTTTTCAAGCCTGTTGGGCCCTACGGCAGTGTTTATGTAATTGCAGGTTTGCCTTTCCATGTATACCTTCCAGCAGGTTCTTATCTTGTGTATTCATCACTTGGCAGTGGGAAGCTAAGTAGAAACTCTTGAATGGTTCAGGTAGTGTGATCTCACAATTAGGATATTGTGAGATCTTTTATCAGGTCTGGGAAATACCTTAGGAAATACTATAGTCAATATAGAAAGAAATGTCTAAACCCAATTTGTATGGGGATGGGGTCTTGCTTTCTGTTTTATTATATTTATTGTATGTATGTATGTATGTATGTATGTATGTATTTATTTATTTATTTATTTTGGAGGCAAGATCTTACATGGGCGTAATCATCCTGTCTCAGCTTCTGGTCTGCTGAGACTATGAATATGTAGCAACACAGCAAGCTTCATTTTAACTTTTAACACTGCAAGAAGGAAGCATGAAAAGCAGCTTGGTCATTATTGAGATAACATCCTCTGCTCTCTCCCACACGAAATCAATTTGAATTGCCCAGTAGATAAAGTCTATCAGTTGTCCTGTGCACCTTAGTGCACGATAGAGTTCCTACATGTCTTTCACTAATGATACTGATGGCAGGAGCTCCTTATGTCTCACTTGAATACCAGCAGAGTTGGTCCTTTCCACACTATGTCCCATGTCTGGCCATTGATTTAATGCACATTTTCTCCTGTTCAGCATGTGTTAGAATTTTACATGTCAGCGTTTTATACACATGTGTTCACTTATCTGTACAGTTTGGCCATTTCCAAATATTGGAGTCTTTTACAGAATACCAGCTGTTGGGGGTTGATAGACCAGTGTCCTTCCAGCAGGTCTGGCTACCAGATCTTAAGGAAAACAGGTTTCATAAACATTTGTTGGCCAGCAAAATGGGGGAAAGTCCTCCAAGTAGACAGACCAGCCTTGGTCCTTTAACTTACTATCCTATTAGAGGCAAACCTCTATGAAAGTTATTGTCCACCTTAGACTACCTGATATCTCTTGACTCTGTATTTTATTATAGGTCATTTATGGATCAAGATGTGGGCATCATCTCCAGGGATACAAGTTTCAGCTAATACTGGATTTTTGTACTTTGCTCACACATGGTTTAGAGAGTGCTCTGTAATATCCAGCCAGTCCACTCTTGAATCCACAAGTTTATCCAATGGGAAGCTTTCTGACCACTTGATGTCATCAATTACAGCTTATTTGTTCCATCCATAATGGCTGTTAGCAAGGCATTTCAAAACGGACTTGTGGGCTTGTCTCTGAGGCTTGGCATCTGTTAACCCTCGTTTGTCTGTCTATTCAACACTTTACATTTTGAGATTGAAACAATTACAAAAAACGTTGGAGCTAGGGTTCTTTTAAATTTTTGTTTCTTGAGACGTTGTCTTACTCTATAGCCCAGTGTGGCCTTGGAGCAGTCTCCCTACCTCAGCCTCTAGATCAGTGATTCTCAACCTTCCTAATGCTGCTCCCCCTCTTTAATACAATTCCTCATTTTGTGGTGACCCCCCAACCATAAAATTATTTTTATTACTATTTCATAACTGTAATTTTGCTACTGTTATGAATTGTAATGTAAATGTGTTTTCTGATGATCTTAGGTTAACTGCTGTGAAAGTCATGTCCCGTTCCCCCCCCCCCAAGAGGGGTCATGATCTTAGAGTTGAGAACCACTGCTTTAGGGTACTGGAATTATACTCCTGTCCCACTGTACCTTTCTGCTAAAGTCCTTTTAATTTGATCTTTTAATTTGATTATTTCATGATAACTAGGACAACACAATGTGAACAATGAAGCTAGAATGAAAATGAGAAGGCATCTGAGATTTACAGTTGGGTAGAATACTGTGTCCAACTCCCACCCCATGAGCTCTAACCTTATTCTGGATAAGAGTATTTGGAGGTTAACCCTTTGGAAGGAAATTACATTCAGATGAGATCATAAGATTGGGGCCCTAATGAAGCAACTAGAGTTTCATGAAGAGGGCAAGAGACACCAGGAATCTTCTTTCCGCCCTCGTTGCCATGTAAAGTGTAAGCAGCAAGGCTACCATCTGGAAGCCAGGTGGGTGGGCCCTCACCAGAAGCCAATTATGAGTAACTAGTTGAAATCAAAATTTTCAAAGTCTCTGAAACAGAAGATTAATCGCTGTTATCAAGTCACCTAGTTAGGGCGTTTCAAAGCAGTCATCAAACCTATGTGGAAGACCAGCAGTCTGCTGGAGAATGACTGTAGGTCATTCTCAAATAGAGAATAGACAACAAATAGATATTTGTTAGCTGGTTCTATCAGTCCATTCACAGACAGGAGGTCTAGAGAAGGGACATTGCCTCAGCAATGTAGGAATGGATGGTGTCACAAGACATGATGATGTCACCCAGCAAGCACATCTGACAACCTGTGAACAGCAGCACTGCAGGAGCAGACAGGCAAAGCCCAGGGGAGGGGGAGGAGGCACCAGACTGGCCCCACAGCCAGCTCAGAGCCACTCTGCCCTCAGCTGCTATTGGTTGCCTGGTGACATTAGAGGAAGTGTGGCAGAGTGTGTGAGGAATAAGTGATCAAGAAGTGTCTGCTTGTTTCACACTATGACCCAGTGTCCTCTGTCCTCTACTGGATATTCTGTCCGTTAAATACTTCCAATCTCAGGCCTGAAAGCTGGTTGAAAACAAATTCTGTGTTCCATGCCTATTAGGAGCTGGGGAACTTTTTGTTTGTTTGTTTTGTTTTGTTTTTTAAACAAAAAACACATTAGGAAGCAATATAGAGATGTTGGTATCACAAAGTGAGGAAGTCTACCAAACCGAGCATCTTAGAACTGTTAACCCTTTATCTGGCTGCTATAGTCTATCCACTTCTTTAGCAACAGAGGGCTTCAGTGGGTGGGCAGTTATCCAGGATTGAGGGAGACATGACATTTAAAAGACAGCTGAAGAGAAAAGAGAGGGGTTTAGTGTGTGATTGGTTTGTCTCCAAAGGGATCCAGTTTAGACATTTATAGGCAAAGAATGTTGTCTTTAAAATGTTTATAGGGCCCAGGATACAAATAACAGCTAGTTTGAATTCTGGAGAACCCTTAACTATTAATATATTTTTTTTCCTTTAGTTTACTGATTCATTTTTACACTTATTCATTGGGGGCATGCATTTGTCTACCAGTGTTGTGTGTACATATGTAGATCAAGACAGCTTGAAGGAGTTAGTTCTTGTCTTCTACCACATAGGGTTTGGGAATTGGACTCAGGTCCTTTACTCACTAAACCATCTTGCTGGTCCCATTTCTATTTAGATAAAATTCTGGTTCGAAGCATAAATGGAATTGTCAAGTGCAATTTCTCAAACTTGGGTCACTCTGGGTTTTATCACACTGTCCTATCTGCCAGGTAGACTTTCTTATGTATACCTTTTAGTTTCTGAAAGTGCTTTTTATTATTTTGCCTTAGAGCATATTTATTTGTGTACCTAGCATGTGCATGGGCAGTGTCTTCTGCACTGGGCAGTCTTCACTGTCAGCCTCATATTGTTTTTGTCCACAGGTAAGATATGCAGTTCAGCTGGCACCACCTGCCACAGCTGCTGCCTGCCAAGGTCATAAGTGTGGCTCATTTATGCCCCCACATATGTCCTTCTTAAAACGCCCAACTAATATTTAAAGTAGGCAGACTTCTGGAGAAGAATAAGAATAGAGAACTCATGCAAGGCTGTAAGAGTAAGGGTCAACTCACACCCTCTCCATTGTCTGCAGCGGGTATCTCACAGAGCCACAGGAAGTATAGTCGATTCCCTTGTCTGTTTTTGTGGCAAGAAGTTGGTTTAATGTGAAAATCTGGCAGGGAGCAAAATCCAATATGTGCAGATTAAAACCTGAGGCTTTGTACTGAACACTGTTCTAGAAAAACTAAGTCAAAAGCCGTGTTTTATTATTATTTCATAATAACTGATTGCATCTAGTAGATATCTTCTGGCAAGCTGGGTTCATTTGTTTTATGTTTTTTGTTTGTGTTTTGTTTTGTTTTTTATAAGTAAGAATTGTTTTGAGCCTGGCATTAGTGGCGCACGCCTTTAATCCCACCACTCGGGAGATAATAGGCAGGCGGATCTCTGTAAGTTTGAGGCCAGTATGGTCTACAGAGCAAGTTCCAGGACAGGCTCCAAAGCAATACAGAGAAGCCCTGTCTAAAAAAAAAAAAAAAAAAACACATAAGTGTGGCATAACATTGTGACCAACCTTGAAAATTTGCTGAGATATTGGCAGGGAATTGCCTGCTACCTCTAAGTAGATTTTTTTTCTTTGTACTTTATTTTTAGAGTATGTATATGAATGTAGCCTGTGTTTATAGTCACATTTAGCAGTATATGCACACTACATCTAGCCCAATGTTCTACCATCACTCTCCATCTTGCTCTTTGAAACAATGTGTCACAGCAATTGAACCCAGTGCTCACATCTGTGGCTGGGTAGTCATTAAGCTGTATAGAATTTGGTTCTGGTTAATTCTGGAGTGTGATATTATTTTCAGTTAAGTTTTATTAAAACAGAGAGAGAGAGAACACAATATGGCTAGTCTGGCTAGTCAGCTTGTTCGGGGATCCGCCTGCTTCATCTTTCCAAATACTTGCATTACTAGTCAGTACCACACCCATATAGTGTTTATGTTGGTTAGGAATCCAGATCCTGGTCCTTAGCCTTGTATGGCAAGTGCATTATCTGCTGAATTGTTTCCCCAGCTCTCTAATTAGATCTTTGGACATGGTTTGATTGATGAAATGTGCAGTATTCTGTCCCCATTTGGCATAGACAGAATGCTTGATTTTTGTTGTGCCTAACTTACCATTTGCATTCAGTCCATGTTGTTTCTAACTAACCTTCACTCCACTTGGTCTTAGGTGTTAAAAATGGACCTGTGAAACCTGAGACTTCAGAAAGCTCATGTACAGGTCTTGTCAGACCTCAAGAGAAACCAAAGAAATGTGGGAAAGGACAAAAGGTCAGTGGATAAAAGTATAGTTTCAAACCTTCAAATGCTCAGATGTCATAATATCCTACTCTGGCTTAATGAAGCAGATTATTCTGTGAACCACGTGTTTATGTAAGAAATTAATTAGTAGTGAATGTGGGCAGTTTGAATATAACACTGAGAGGTCTGAAGTTATCCAGGATGGGGTATTGGTACTGACAAACCAAGCTTCCTCATAGTGCTTTGCGAGCACATGCCTAGCTGTGAACAAGCCTCCCACTGCTCTCAGCCACTGTGGGGGCCAGTGTCTGTTGCTCTATGCTAATTTAACAGATATTCACTAGATAGGAGCAAAGCACCCAGATATCCTTCATTTGTGAATAATTCAAGGCCTGACATAAAACCAGAGGCCAATAGTCATAAAGCTCATGGAGTATGTGAACTTGAAGTCATTATGGTAGGGGGAGACCATCCTGATAGGCAAGGAAGATAGCTGCAGAGACTCACTTGATTGCCTAGGCGTTGCTAGAAGAACTGATTTGGATAGAGATGTGGAGAGGTCAAGGATTATGCTTTTGTTACTGCGGTTTGAAGAACAATAGAAATGTCTTAATACATGATTTATATTTAAGCTTCCCAGCATGTTGAGATCTTTTATGTAGGGTGGGGATGGACGTTTGTTTGGTGTCTGGTATTGTTATGAGTCTTTGTTGACACTGGGATTGTTTGTTGATATTGAAAGCCAAATGTAGGATTGTAGAATTAGAGTGGTAAATTACAGCTTCCTCATTCATCTTCATGTTAAGCTAGTATCTGTCATTTCTCCCTTTCCCCCTCAGAAATGAGAATTTCACTTGCTTATTTTTGGTCCTTAATAGATTTTTAAGATAATCTGTGTTAAACTGAAGTTTGAGACTTTCGCAGGGTCCTGTTTTTATGTACAGTTCAAATCAATCCATTTTATTAAGCACAGATCTTGTTCCTGCTATCTTTTTAAGATCTTGTCATTGAGCCAGGGATGTAGCTCAGCAGTAAACCTCTCTGGATTTGATCTCCAGTGCTGCAAAGACATGAAAATCTTGTGATTAAATTTTAATACTGAAAAGAAGGTTTCACTGGGAGATGGTGGAGTGTGCACCTTTAATCTCAGCACATGGGAGGCAAAGGCAGGTGGATCTCTTGATTGCAAAGCCAGCCTGGTCTACAGAAGGAGTTCCAGAACAGCCAGAGCTGCACAAGAAAACCCTGTCTCAAAAGACCAAAAAAAAAGAAAAAAAGAAAAAGAAAGAAAGAAGAAAAGAAAAGAAAGAAAAGGGGTTTCATTGAAGCAAAGGGGTTTCATTTGCTAATTATTGTAGATTGACAGTCCTGGTGGCCAGTGCTGCTGTGGGGGATGAACACAGCTTGAAGCTCAGGTTTTTCTCTGGGCATTGATGATCTTCTACTCTTAAAGAAGCAAGGGTAGGTGTTCTCCCATTCTGTGTAACATGGAGATTTAGGGTGAAGGGTAGGGAGCCAGAGACTGGCTAGTGTGGACCCAGTGGATGCAGAACAGTTCTGGGGGCGGGGGGGTGGGGCTGAGAAGACCCAAGATCTAAGCATCAAGGGAGATGTAGTACCCTGTGTTTGTTGTGAGTCTTCTTGAGGGCCACAGGCCTTGTTTGATCTTTGATTTGTTCTGGAAAATTAGCAGCTATTGCTGCTTCTGCCCGTTTTCTCAGCTCTGTATTGCTGGCACTATAATGTTGCCATGTGTTACCCATGTTCTAGAGTTCATACCTTGTGATGTTTCTTTTGGATCTTGTTGTAAGACAGGATTTCACTCCGTCACCCTGGCTGGCAAGTCCATTGTGTTGCTAAATCTACAAAATGAAGTTCATCATCCTTTCATTGTTCTTTTAAATTCTTATAGCTTTATTTGAAATTTTTTTATCATTTTCAGTTCTGTACCGTGCATGTTTATTTTGAAGCCTGTCTCTGACATCTCTGCTATCCCTTGTATCTGCAGTTTCTTGTAGTTCTACAGCTAGTAATGTGTTGGTTTGGCTTCTAGTCAGGAGATGGGATGGTTGAGAGCTTGGCCTCTGTCTTTAGGAGCCTGAATGTCCTTGGGAATGTGAACCTCAGGTGCCGTGTCAGCAATCCAGCTCTCACATCTAGCTGCCGGGGCAGTGTTGTCATAGACATTGCCTACCTGCTTGTACAGTTTTCTGGGTGATCCCAGTTTGTTGGTAGATTTACAAGACTCAGTCTATCACTATTGGAAATTTTTATGATCTTTTAAAGAAAGAAAACTTAAAATGATATCCTTTTATTGATTGGTTGGTGGGGGATTGTGGGGAATGTGAGTATTTGTATATGTGTATGCTGACATATGGAGGACAAAGTCAACATTGCTCCACACTTTTTATTTCTTGAGACAGGAACTGAACCTGGAACTCACTGAACCTGGAACTCACTGACTGGCTAGACTGGCTAGCCATCAGACTTCAGGGATACACCTGACTCCATCTCCCCTCTTCCCTCTCTCCTACCCCCTACCTCCAACCTGACTTTTTCCATGGATGCTGGGGATTTGAACTCTGGGCCTCATGCCTGTACTGAAAGCATTTCACCCCACCCCAGCCTCTCCCTAGTCCCCTATATGCATCCCTTTGTGAAAAAAATTAAGAAAAGATTTTAAGTAAAAAGAATTTTTTTCTGAAACAGTTGTTCAAGAAAAAATACATTAAACATCTAAGTGATTGTTCTAGTTGGTTGTTTTTGTTAACTTGACACAAGCTAGACTTATTTTGGAAGAGGAGCCTCAATAGAGAAATTGCCTCCGTTAGATGGCCTGTAGGCAAGTCTGTAATGCATTTTCTTGATTCATGATTGATGTGGAACAACCCATTCACTGGGGGCATTGCCACCCTTGGGCAAATGATCCTGGTTTGTATAAAAAAAAAAACAGGCTGAGCAAACCAGGAGGACCAAGCCAGTAAGCAGTACTCCTCCATGGTCTGCAGCAGCTCCTGCCTCCAGGATCATAACTTCCCTCAATGACGGACTTATAAACTGTAAGGTGGAATAAACCCTTTCCTCCCCAAGTTGCTTTTGGTTCTGGTGTTTATCACATCAATAGACACCCTAAAACAGTGATCTTACTTCAGTTTCTCTTTAGCGGGGAACAAATAAAATTCAATAAAGAGTATATGATCTTGAAATTATAACTTTCATCAGAATGCTTTTGGTTTGATACCCACATTCAATAGGAAAAGTATCTTTACTGTTTATTTGATCTCTTTTTACTCAGGGCTTGGCTAAACAGTTTATCAGCTCTCCTCTCTTAGTTTATAGTATGTTTAGTTGTATTGTAGGCAGTGATAAAGTTCTACATCATTCCAGGGAGGGAGGAATATAAACTGCTCAGGCAGAGTGACCATTGAGGGTTGTTGAGCATAGAACCTGAGGAAGCTAAATGTGGGCTTCATGCTTGAACTCCATAAAAAGTACATGAACTCTGCTTCTCCATGGTTTTCATTTGTTCTGTTACTTCTGGGCTTGCTGTTGTCCGAAAGATTATTATCCTCAACAAAAATTTAACCTGAATCATCAACTGCATAGCTCTTGGTCAGTGGCTGAGTTTTTGAAATCTCATTTTGAGCTATGCCTGCCAATCCAGGTTGTTCCGCAGGAAGACAAGCTGTGGGTCAGAGCACAGAGGGTTTGCAGATGGCTTTCATAAATGCAAAGCCTTGGGGGGGGGGGAAGAGGACCAATGGACCGCACCTATTTTGACAGGGTTTTTGTTGTTGTTTTAAAAGAAGCCCATACACCAGATAGAATGCTTACATTTTTATTAGCATTCAAAAAAAATTTGTATTATTATGGGTGTGTGTATGTGTGTGTGTGTGCATGCACGCTGTGGCTTACACATGGAAGTCAGGATATTTGCAGGACTTCCTTCTACTGTGTGGGTTCTTAACATCTTACTCAGGTTGTCAGGCTGCACAGCAAGTACTTTTACCCCTTGAGGCATCTTTCTGGTCCAGAATATTTACATTCTTAAAAGCCTTGTACATGATCGAGAAAACAAATAGCTTGCATGTATTTTAATAATTGTTTATTCTCCAAACTTTGTTAGGCTATGAATCTCTAGGGGCTTGCTCTGTGCTGTCTTGGAGTACCCTACATGATACAGTACTACATGCAATCAGGGATGTAGTGATGGTGTGTGTGTGTGTGTGTGTGTGTGTGTGTGTGTGTGTGTGTGTGTGTGCATGCTTGCATGTTCACATGTGTATGGGTACATGTGTTTGAGTATGTATGCATATGAAGGACTGAGGTTGGAACTAGAAGTCTCCCTTGAATTTTCTCCCCCTTATTCAATGACTCAGGTTTCTCACTTGATTGAGAGTTTGCCATTATGCCTAATCTGGGTAGAGCTTCCTCTGGGATTCCTGGTGTCCACCCTCTAAACACTGGAATTATAGGTTGGGCACCACACCCACCCAGTAGATTTGTAGATCTAAACTTCAGTTCTCACACTTTCATAATTAGTGCTGTAGCCAATGAGTCATCTCCCAATCCCTCCCTTTTATATTTTCATTTGTGTGTGGCTATTTTGCCTTTATGTGTGTCTATGTACCATATGTACAGTGATCATAAAGACCAGAAGGCATCAGATCTCCTTGGACTGGAGTTACAGATTCTGAGCTGCAATTTGGATACTGGGACTCAAATGTGGATCCTCTAGAAGAGCAGCCAGTGCTCATAACCATGGAGCCGTCTCTCTTTCCCCTTTTTTGACTCAACATGTTTCCCTCATTTCTTGTGCTCTCTGTCCCCACTCCACTAGAATCGTTGCCACATGCTGTGTTTTTTTTGTTTTTGTTTTTCCAGATGCTCCCCTACTAGAGAGGTGCTTTAGCATCAGTGAGAGATGAAGTCTGTCCTCCAGGCTGCACACTGCAGTTGACTTCTGACTTAAATCCTACTCTTTTCTCCATGAAAAGGCTCCAGACATATATCTCACTGCTGTGCTAGAG